CTCTGACAAACCGAAGCAGCTACTACAGTGAGTTTCAAGATAGCTGGTCACATGTTAACCAAAATATAATGTGCAATTTTTATGGTAAGGAAGCAGAAACCTATTAGGAGCCTATTCTCCTTGTTCCGCGAAACTAAACGCTTGCGTTAGTTTCACTGCACAATACAGATATGTATCATTTACAACGCTGCTTAATCTCTATGCTCTTGTATTTTTGCCCTTTTAAACAGCCAATGAGAATGGCAAAATAATCAGCCAACATGAAAAGGACATTGGGTATTCACACTTATTGCTTTTTATGTGGCCTTGCCTTTCTTGTGGCCGAATATTTTTTGTCAACCGGGATAAAATACGGCAATACAATAAGGGCGGTTACATTGAATGTGTTTCGTGCAGTCATGGCCTGACGAGACCGTTATCTCCAAAAGGACAGCTTATGGAATGAACGGTGGAACCGACTGTTTACCATTTGCGCTGACTAACTGGCGAATTCTTGATTGAATGTCTTACCTTTTATTGATTTCAGACGGCCAACAGGTCACTAAGGATTACGCACACTAAAAGCCATACAATCTCTTTTCAATATGTGTGCGGCAGTCGAAACGCAAAAATAAGGTCCAGTTTGTCATCCTGTTTCAGCCATAACGCTGACTCTTCACGGTTGAGATAACCGGGCACGTGTTAGATTTCATGCACCTCCGGTGGCATTTTAGTCGCGCAAATAAGCTATGTTCATTGCGCCAGATGGCGGGAAAAACAAAAATCCGTTGGAGGAAGTTACCCTAAAAACTTCGAATATTTTCTTGATTTATGTGAGGGCACGATGCGGAGCGTTACATCTAGCGTGCCACAAGGGAGACCTGTTAAGTAAAGTCACTCGACAGCCCCAAGATGCCGTTCTCAGACTGCTTATTATTCAGGTCCAATATGGGTAGAGGACTTGAAACTGGTGAGTGTGACACGAAAACTACCCGGTGCACGTCAAGCAGTTTCTTTGAGAAAACTACGGACATATTTTGCATGTAATTTATCAAAAAATCGTACCTAATACTCCTTTAACAGACTATTGTATGTAACATATACTTTAAATGCACACCGCTTTTCTAACGTGGTTGGAACTCTCAGAATTTTTGAGATGTTTTCCCAACAATGGTCTCCCTGCTAAAGATCCCTATGGCAAGATGGCGCCAGTTTCTCCCTATCAGGTCACATGGAACCGAAAGCAAGTCAGTATACGAGATTGACGCTTGCGCATATTTTGGACCAGCGAATGCTCTGCAGTCTACGACCACACACAAAATGTTGTGAATGGAAGACTGTCTGTGGCATTAGTCCAGCTTGAGAATATTACATTTCCCGCTAGATGAGGATATTTGGATCATGCACAAGTCGAGCCACAACATGTGATTGGCCCAAATGGGCTTGACTGCTCAAATAAGGTTTCTTCTAAAAGACTTTCGTGTCTGGATGACATAGTGGGACTGGGTCTGTGAAGGTCTGTGATTTGAATCAGTTGTCTGTCGAACAAACTCTTCAGCTGTCTCTGGTCACTGCATGAGTGACTGAGTTTAGGCAAGTTATTTTATTTTTCCGGATCTGACGCTATCATCTGTTCATGCGAACGCCACCGTAAAGGTGTATAACGCCAGGAATATCATCGATGTAACTTCCTGAAAATCGTATCATTTTTAATGCATATTCCTGCATAGTGAATCATCAGGTATTCTGACAGTCAACGACGACACAGACATTTGAATGAAGGAACTAAAAGGACTGGTTGCGAAAAGCCTTGGAAACACTCTGAGTTGTCTTCCCTCGCCACCTCGGAAGTCTTACTTTAAACATGAGTTGGATACCTGGTCCAAAACATATCTGAGATGAGTTTTTCTTAATATAATTAACCCTTCTTCCGATTTAACTACTTTGGTGCACTATCGATATATTCTCACTACAAGTTAGTGGATTTCATTGTAGATCACTTTTGATCCTGGGTGCTAGCACACATCATTCTCCAAAAGAAAATTTATCCCCGATTCCGCTCCAAGTGCTCCTTCAATTAGTCTATACAGTTCCACCGAGATTCTGAGATTCGAGCTGGCATTTGTTCTTACTGCGAATATCTCCACTTCGTTATTGTGAAACGGTTTTCAGTTTTGGTTCAAATTAGCCAGCTGGTCACTGAATTTCTTATGTATCTCCATACTCGTTTTTCTGGTATATCTTCTGTGGCTCATGGTTTCGTATCGCGTGTCCGGCCAGGCACCCAAGTTTCACCTTCCACTTGGTGTCGTTACCCGCCATTTTTTTTTAAAAAATATGGTCTGATCTTGCCTCCATTTGGTATGTTCCCTGAAAGACGAATATACCCTGATAACTGTGTTTCCCCGCCCCCTATACCCACTGCATTTAGATCGTGGCAGTTTACCCGAAACCTGATTTGTGTTTGATAATGCCCATTATTTGCGTGGCTGCTCCGCTTTCGCACATACCTAGGCACCCACAGCTGTCGTCAGTCATTCCTCTATTCCGACCGTACCATTACGATCAGGCCATACGGTATTCCACGCACCAGCTGGAAATAAACACCATTGTTGTTTGCCGGATATTGACCGGCACAGTCAAACAAAACGGGTGAGAAAACCTTCCGGGAAATCAGATTCTATCTACTTTAGCATGCCACAGCCCGAAACCGAAGAGCACTTCGGCTTCATTCATTACCCCAAAACTGTAGTGATTTTCCGTTAGGAAGCTGTGAAATGCAGGAATTTAAGTGAAACCCCGCATGAATTTACCTTTCAGCTATTTATTTCTCAAGTCACCAAAGTTGTTCAGAAATAATTGCTATCATCAACCCACCGTTCATTGGTAAGTTACATCAAAAAGCGCATGAAGCCAATTGTTATAGAGGCTTAAAGCTGCGAGGCAGCGATTCTTTGCCAGGTTACTACGGTTTGGCACAGAGAGGAGGCACCGTGGTGGGGGCGTGGTGTGGATTTCACTTCCATGACGTTGGCTTCGAGAATGGTGCTATTTAATCATACTTACGGGCGAACGGACTTGTAGTAAGAACGCGTTAAACACCGGTGCAGCCGCTTTAATGATGGGATCCAATTGGTTTTACCCTAGTACCAGGCTGTAAATTCGTGGCGCACACCTGCTGAGGCACCCTAATAAATTATGACCATCATTAGGAACAGCGACGCAAGGAATACGTAGGCTATAATCTTGTGACTCAACGAACTAATGATGCAAACGAAATTCGTACTTCCTTATCAATAAACGAAACACATTGGTAAGTTGGCCGGAATTAGGTGGCGGCGAGTTTCCGTAGCGGAACAAACCTTGCAAGTATAATTCCCATATAGCTCACTTGACGAAATTTACAAACCCACAAAGAACCTTAATTCTGTCACGGATATTCGAAGATATTTGTTGCGGACCTGGGAACCTAAAAATAACGCAAGAATAAACAGTATTCCAACAGAATGCATCTCAATTTAGTTGGAGATTCGGGTGGTAGAGATTATTCGATACTTCGACACTGGTGTAGATTTCAAATGTATACCTAAGTGCGCGGTTTTCCCAGTTTCGCACCGTTTCACTACATACTTTCAAACTACCCAGCTGCTCTCAGGGCCAGCGAAATACAAGATACATCGCCGCGTTGATCATCGCGTTGGTAGTGCATGCCACGTAATACTAATTACGTGCTGTAATGTCGCCTCTTGGGAAAGTAAGTTTGAACCACGGAAAAGGAAAGGCAGCTGCAGAGTAAAGATTGGATTCCGATAAAAAATCTTATCACAAAAAACAATCGGGTGGATACACTCGAAACCGTTGATTCGAACTAATGTCACTGAGAAATGACAGTTAATGTCAGTGCTGGAGTTACATTATCCAAAATTAGCTCCACGATGCCCTGTAAATGTTTGCATCCGGAATTCACTGACTGTCGAAAAAACTATATATATATATATATAGGTCAAAGGATAGTCTATAATTTGCTGCTTTCACTGGTCAAATTGTTGGTCCATTCTCTCAATGCTGGCAGTGCTAACGAGGCCGTTAGCCCTTTCACTTGTGTACCACTCAAACCTTTTCACTCGTCATCTGACGAGAATTCGAACTTGGCAACATCAATTTTTCTGCGCTTTGTGGCTCCGCGCGTTGGACGCACGACGCTTTTTTGTGAAATCTTTGCGAGCGAAATAAACCTTTTTACGCAAAAATCGCGTTTGTGGCATATGCGATCAGACCAAAAACCTGGAGTCATTTTTTCATTTTTAAGTTTAGTCTCCTTTCGAATTTTCTTGGCGCATATCTTACCTTGAACTTACTGTGCTGTGGCCTCGGTAATGGCCTCACGGGCGTTTCTTGAGAAATTTGGAACTATATCCTATTCATTCTGCACGGCTTTGAGAAGGCATTAAATCAATACATTAAGGATGACTATGTGGTATTTGTGCGTTCATCGAGTAGTCAAAGCACCAACGCTGTTTTGCTTTACGAATGGGTGCACTAGAAATGCAGCAGGTGACCTCCAAAACCAAATCTGTTTTTTTTTCGGGCCTGAGGAATAAATTGGTCGTCATGCTGGTGCAACAGTCGATTGACTTTTCCGCTAAATCGCAATTCATTCATGTAATCTCCGTTAAAGGCCTTACGTCACGGTGGCATTGGACGCCTCAAAGACATGCGTTTAAATATATTTAACGTCTCATTTATTTCTTCGAATTTGTCGCTACCAAACCACTTTGGGGTCGATTGATCAATCTGCTATTGTCGCACTGCTACTCCTGGGAACATTTTTAAAATTATACCTAATTTTGCAGGAATGGGGCTCCACAAAGTACCCTATAGGCTCATAGACAGTTGACCCAACGGCTTGCTGTTTGCACAAGTCTATTATTACAGCGAAACCACATGCAACGGTTCATGAGACCTCCTCATCTTTTTAATTGAAAAATGGTTGATGTGGGTGTGCCTACCATGTGGCGTGCACGTGAAGCTCACCCTCAAGTGGAAAGAGCTTCTGACCAGCATTGATCAATCTTATGCCGACATCGCATGACGTTGACGACTCGCACCACATGTTGTAGGGTTATTTCAAGGGTTAACTAACCTGTTTGGAGAATGCGAGTTCCTTGTCCAAAGTCGGAAGCCCTTAGTGCCGATGAGGCGGGGCAACTTCGTCGGTAAGAACTTGCAAGCAGCCCACATAGATTACGTAAATGTTGTACCGTCCGAAGGCCTTTGCAATATTGAATAAAACTGTTTGATAGTTGCGACTTCCATGGATTTATGGACCCATAAACAGTAATTTATCATGCTCCAGCGACATTGAATGTCGCTGAAGAGAAGAGCCCTCTGTCCCTGTTTTGTTTTCTCAGCGGCGTCTCCGGACTTCACGGTTGTAATAAACTTGAGAGTTTCAACTGAACTCCGGGTGAGCTTCCCATAAAACCTGGCAGTAGTATTTTCGTGTAACCTGGGTTCAAGTAGACGGAAACCCGGGGGCTGCGCCTGTAGTGATCTGGTTACCCAATGAGTTCGTTTACCAGGAGTGTGTGGCAAAGAAATAAAAATAATTACGCTAGTTTGGGTATACAAAAATAAAGAGGTCAGATTGAACAGACTCACTAACAACTGTTCTCTCTAAAATAGTTCGTCGTTGGCTCAGGTCAGCGAATAAACGATAATCCACTTGTGTTGGTCCATAGGTTTTCTTCTGAACAGTTCCCACATATAATGGATTCCGAAGATGTCTGAAATGTTTTGGTACCAGAGTTAGTACATGAGACTCGCGAATGACCGCTGCAAGCGCGAGCGAAATCAGTAGAGAGAGTCGAAGCAAGTGACCACGCTTGTATTGTGTGAAATCGTACGAGTGCGCGTTTTTCTAGCTTTTCGTATTTAAACAAAAAACGATTATGCAATTGATGAAATACGTAGTGTTATGATGGAAGTAAAATAAAGGTATAAAAAGCCGCACGGCTACCTGATGAGCCCCAGGAAGGGCACAATTGGACGTGAACCGTCAAAAATGCCTCTGGCAGGCCTATTAGTGGTGTTTCCGACTAAAGACTCACTTGGTGGCAAGCTGATTCTCTCGCTTTTGAAGTCTTGGGTGGTCAAAGTATAGTGTGTTACGACTATCCAAATATCGCGATATGTCGAATATCGTGGCAACTGAAACATGAGGCGGCACTTTCAGGTTATTCAAACCTCGCAAACGAGAGACTCGCCGATTTCCAGGTGAGTGTCCCGTGAAAACAAAAATTGTTTTACAAATTAGTGTAGCTCACAAACTTGGTACTCATTCGTTGTGAACCACAGTGACATTTCTCGCCCGTGAATATTGGTGCTGTATTGTTTTGAAAGGCTAGCCTTTTCCAGGGACACTACTGGTATGCCGCCAGTGACATATTGCCGCGAACAACTGGGGTTCAAAGTCCCTGTTGGAAATGACAAGAAACTATTACTGATCTAGCTACCATTTTCGCGCCCCACCTCAGTTGTTTAAATCACCCAATCAATATGATGAGTCCAACTGAGTGGGCCACCGCCACATTTGACGGGATATGGGGTATGAAGTCCCTATAACAGTAATTACAATATTTTGGCTATTGGTTGGCCTCGGGGGCCCCTTACTTGTTCCAAAAGGGCCAAATCGAGCGTAAGCACTAGACCAGATAATCAATTAAACGACATTTTCCAGGATGATTCAACTGATGCTTGTGATTACATCAGTGTGCTGCTATCTTGCGTACGTTTCCGACATGAAATCTCATAATTCTGAATTGATAGTTGGCTGATGTGCTCGCTAGCGCAGCTTAGCCCATTATTTGGTCCAAGACTATCGACAGCTCACATCCGCGTTTTGAAGAGGGAGTGGTTGGTAAGTAGAAATGTTTGCCGTAATTGATTGCCTAGAATACTGCCACTGAGCCACTTTGATATGTGAAAATAAGCTTGACATATAAAATCGCAGAGAGGACAACTGAAATGGAGACCTGACAATGCATTTTTCCTATATTCCTCTAAATTAATTTATCAGCCTACATATTCCAAATATACATATAAATCAAACGTTTCCTCTTCTGCTTTAAGGAGCGCTGTGCCGCGTATGCCTCAGGAGGAATTTTAAGGCGCAAATGCACCAATCAAACATAATACTTGATCGCATCTTTGCTGATGTTCTTGCTTACACAACAATGCTCTTTTCGGAAAAGCTAAAAATGGCGCTTCAAACACCCACACCAAGCTTTCCACAAGTCACAAGTAGTTGCCGCTCTCATGGTTTTAGAATAGGGGAAGCGTCTCGGTGCTTCATAAAAAGAATAATGTTTGCTTTGAAATAGCATCATATTATTAATCGGTTAAGACTTTCCGGATGTAGTATCAGAAGCAGCACAAAAAAATAATTGCCCTGAAAGAAATAACTTAAAACTGGTAAAACGTGCGTCTATAGTCTTCAGGCCTGAAGAGATTAGTGCAGAAACCCAAGCTGAGCCATATGAGACCCTGTTAACGAATCATTTGCTGGCCGCATACGTGAGCACTGCCGGTCATTGAAGACGGGTCCAAAAACCCACACCATTAATGTAAAATACACTCATTTGCGGAAAATTTGGTTTTGAGGGGATATTTACCTAGAGTCCAACTAAATATCTCATTTATGATGTTCCGAACATAGTGGTGGTGAAAAATAAGGGGACTGCGCCCACCGGATGTGTGTCAACACAGGTGAAACAGATCGTGAGCTGTCGGGGTTTTTGTGAATCGTATGAGTGGCGTATTACGTTCACACCAGCGTCCTTTTCATCAGGCACGCGTTTGTGTATCACAGAACCACTAGATAGCCACAGTACCCGGACCATTCTGATATAACAAAACTGTGTGCTATGACAGTAATTGTCCACAAGACAGTCAAGAATAGTAAATTACATTTACTTTAGGTTGCAGCGAATTGGCAGTTTCTGAAATCCCCAAGATGGTATAGCGAACAGAAGAAATCTTCCTAGCGTTTCAGTCGAAAAATCGTTTAGACGTTATTATTCGTTGCCGCAGTTACTCAGAGATACTACTGTAGACACTGAAAACCAAACGAAACCTACGGCGAGAACTGACTTCCAAATTTTTGTTTTTCCAACTGATGTGCGCAGCTTTTAACTCTCAAATCACTCACTCTTGCGCAGATACCATGAGTATACTGTACTTCTCGGTACTACGTTGTACACATGAAATATTCCGGTGCTAGCCAACTGCTGATTGTATCTTTGATAAGGAGATGGTAGAATATAATCCAAAATTGGTACTGGAGCTGACGAGTCAGAGTGACAGACAATTAGTTTTATCTCCAATTCGAACACTATTTTAATATTGTAACATCTGGATCGGGACTTTGTTGGACACTCCATATGTTAAGCTAATCATAATATGGATATATGGTTGTTGTTCTCAGCGGCAGAGAAAAATGGGGTGGTCGACTTGTTCTCACCTTGGAGGTGGCCGAAGCGAAGTACCAGCAATGTTGTCAGGTGAGATCAAAGAATGAGCATAAAACTAAATAATGAACTAAAGGGAATTAGACAGTAAATTTACAGGATACTCCCCGGATATGTCCAATCAATACGGTGTGGCTGTGAAACGAAAATAACTTTTAACGTTGGTGGAGTGCGGTGAGAGTAGGGAGATATATTTAAGAAAATACTATGAATGCTCGATGTAATTGGCTCGCCGAACAATGGGAAACGGGGAGGGTCGTAGTCAGGTCTCGTTCTTCTGCTTTGTTACAAGCATCGCTTTTCAAAAGTTTGCTCTCATAAGCTAGTTTACGGCCTATGTGAGAACCGTAGAAATTTTGTCGATTGGCTTCTGCTGCCTCTTTGACACTCAAATGTACAATCCAGTTTGAGAAGATTTGGTTCCATTACATTTTCTCTCTAGGCGATATCAAACACACTAACTTTTAGCGAGAATGCAACTGTTGCAGGGACTACTCTGTTATTGGTGCAACTCGACGAGTTGGCAAGCTTAAAGTCCATAATCGAACTGGCTGCCTACAAAACGCAACCTCACACTGTACAATTTTCCGCCACGATGAAAATCCGTAATGATCGAAATACTAGAAGCTACTGGCTTGCAGTGTCCAGCCATGCATCAGTTAAGTGTAGCTGTGATTCATTGGGACACTCTGTTGGAAGAAAACCTTTGGAACTACATTTCATCCTGGGCTGTTCTTGGTGACCGATTTAAATGAGATGTTTGACCCAGTATTGACCGTGAACGCTTTCTTCAACAGTATGCAGACTGCAAGTCGCTTCTGATAAACCTGGGGCGGAAAACACTGGGCAATGTTGAGCCGCATGGCTTCTCTGCCTCCGAGAAACCTTGGAGTCATTAATGACAAAGTCATCAGACAACGATAATGCGTTCTATTTCTTGACCACCGACCATTCTGGAATGAATAATTTTATTCCGATGACGCTGTCGACCGCATATTTTACTCAATATGCCGGTGAAAAAAGATCGTTTGTCCGCTAAGCGACGTCGAATCCTCCTGGCAATAATTTAAGGAAAGATGCAGAAACGTGATATTCAAGACCTCACAAGGGCTTTCTCGGAGACCACTGAGCGCAAATGGGGTGTGATAAGCGCACTTAAATGTTGTCAGAAATTCTTCTGCAGTGTCTCTCATCAGATACACGAAAATTTTTAGACAGGAGAACAGTTATGGCCACTCTCAGCTACGAAACACCGTACCAATTCAAACTCACCAAACTATTTAGCTGCCTTATCAAGTAGACATCAATTCAAACGTACGATGTGTGTAGAAACATGCGTGGTATAACCAGAGACCTGAAGAAATAAAAGAGACTAATGTAGACCGATAGGCGCAAGAATTCGCCTCAGCTATATCGTACCATATGATCTATGAGGTATGGGCTGAAACCTGAAGTATACTTAGGTACACCGAAACAGTTGAATCGGATTCTCGTCCATATATCTGCTTCTTTCATCCGACCACTTCACAGCCGTGGCCTGACGGCCTGGTCCCTTCCATTAGTTTCTGAAATGGAGATATACCCATCTTACTTGAGTCTAATCGGCTTGCTGGACCAGCGTGTTTTGTTTCCATAAGTTAGTAATACATGTCTTGATACAAGAATGCCTTTCATAGAATTTGGACCTTGTATCCCAGGAAGAGTTACCAACCCAGTGTATGAGCCTGACGCCTACCGTAAACTGTCAGCGACTTCTCTAATATTTCTATTCATACATATTCATACAAGTTTTTTACGCTTGTCTCTCAATTAGTGATAGACCTGTGTGCCGCAGTATATAGAAAATAGGGAAAATCACAAGCCATACTCCACTGGATTCGATTCCCGGCCATTTTGAAAAGTCGTTGCATTAAGCACGGTACTCTAACATTTGCAATGAGCCAACAGAGCCTAGTCTGACAACCAGTAATTTTATGCGTTTTTGCCGCAGTTGCTTCTCAGCGGTCGCAAACAAGCTTCGCGGTAGAGGTTCTTGAGTAGACATTTTTTGAAGACTAACATCCTTCGGAAATGATGCTTATTATTACCACCTCCACTGAACAGGTGTCTCTCCCCTCTAACGTCCCCCTTCGCTGCTTACATTTCAATCTTTTATAGGTGAGTAGAAGTGTAAAGATCCAAGTGGAATACTCCAGCTTTTCACTAACACCCTGTAACTCAATCTCACCTCTTCGAACCAGTACGCTTTCGTCTGTTTAACTTGTATTCTCAGTTGTCTCCCCTGGTAGCGGTTCAACAGTGCCGTGCGTGGATGTATGAGGTATTTTATTAAGCAGTTCATAGGTGAATAAGCCAACCGGAAGCGAAATTATTAGATAGCTTTGCTGAACTACGCTTAACGGATCACAATACGAGGGTGGTTACTGGCACACTCGTACTTGCGCGAAAGTATCTGCACACATCTCTACAGAAAGTCCGAAAATGTGAACACGTCTGCATTTCTAATGAGGTAGTTTCCAATGTAGCTGTGTTGATGCTGTCGGGTATAGCTTTACTGTCAATGTCGACCAGGTAGGTCGGCTTTAGCAGTTGTCCCAGAACAGATATGTGACCAGTACAGCCACGGCCCGGGAGGACTTAGTGCTTAATCGCTGAGCTCAATAAGCACAGCATGAAAATATCTGATGTTGAGAAGCAAGATTAATGATACTCACATCACGGCACTTCCTGCAGCCGACGCATTTGTCTTTCCCATATATATGGTCAATAGTGACGATCCTTTAGTGGCACACGTCTCTAACAAGGTATTAAGTTAATTCAATGAATGGCAATATATCAAAATATTGGCAGTTTGGGTGTGTTATTAGTTGTAAGTCAGCCAGCTGCTGATCTGTTAGCCGAACTTGGCAGTTTCCTTGCGGTCGCTCCGTCAGCAATTGTGTAGCTATCAACGGTGCACGGACTGAGATGTCTTCTGAAGCGTTCCCCAAAGATGTGATAAGAGCGAGTGTATGTTGTTTTACAAGTTGCGGTGTGGTGCTATTTCCGAATATTATGAAGAACGATGACGAATATAACTTGTGCACGCAAAAGCCAATCACCAACGACTGAAAAAATTCGTTAATCTGTTGTTCTAAAGATGTAAAAACTCGACCGCTCCACCTTACTTCCATTCTTAGCTGACCTTGGCTAGCGTGAAGCTCCAATGAGCCACTTGTACTCATCTTGTTCATCAAAACCAGTAAATCAACCAGGACACCGCATGTAGCTGGCCGGAACCCATATACCATTTAGCAATAGAAAATGCTCTACAGTCCCACCCGAACGCAGGGGTTCTCGGCCCTACTCCTTGAGCCCACATCAGCTGCAGTACACAAATTGGGATATACCTGGAAGCCTTTGTACAACGGGATATGGGGACATATCCCAATGCCGAGACTGCTTTTAATACCGAAAAAGAACTCCGGTTCCCGGAACATGCCATCGGAACAGAAGACAGACCATTGCCTACATCAGGTTTCACGTTGAATTCGCAGTGTGCCCGTGGCTCAAGCGCATCTTAGGGTTGTTATAACCTACGAAAGACGTGCCACCAGAACTTTTTTACAACGAGCATATGACATTCATTGGCCACTGTACTGTGGAGTGATATCATTCTCACACAACAAATGCTGAGGAAACCAGATCAAACATGCCAAGCTCTTCACTCTTGCATACATCACCCATCTCCGAAACCACAGTTTTGAGCTACATTTTTGAAAAAGTTTGTCTGGACCGCCGGACCTGGACCCCCATGTCTGCCTAACCACCGATATAGCCTCTTCTTCAATGGCACCATAGCTCAAGCGGAAACTGGACGTTTTCTCTCACTATAGATTTGCTTCCCCGCCATTATACCAGAATTCACCGCTACCTACTGATTATCGGGCTATTACACTCTGGGATCTAAAAGGTTTCGGCTGTCTACTCTGTGCCAGGCGGAGGACGTTTCATTTCTGAAAAATGTTGTGACGTCCTACTGATGCGGATTAAACAGCAGGCAAGTAGAAACAAGTGTGAAACACCGTGAATATGGACCCAAGTACACACTGAGCACACTTGGGTCCGTATTAAAGATTTCCAGATCCCCCATCTTTCCTATAAACGTAGGACAACTAGTAGTCATTATTTATAAACACTGAGACAAGGTGTCATATCTGCTAAACATCCCATTTTACTACGGATTCCTGTACTCACTATGTAGGAAAATAGACTGTTTTTTGTAAAGCAATGAAGCATCAGCAAAAAAATTGATGTTGTCCAATATGAGAATGGTGGTTTCGGCAACGATATTGACGTTGATAATTATGGTAGAAATGAAGTTGCCGTGTAATTCTGTTTGATGCAAATGCTGGATGCCCCATTCTAATAGAGCCCGTCAGTGAAAAGCATGTCGTAATTACCAGTTTTAGGGTTTTTGGGGAGGCAGCAATGGGGAATTGGTGTCACGCTGTCAGCTCACCCTTCACATGCATGGGGTGTAATGGATCAGATTGCACTGCTTAAAAGTATTACGTTTCACGCTTTGTCAACCATGAAAAATATGATGACTTTAGTTGAGACATTCATTTACTGGCCTGTTCACCTTAAATGAACACCAGAACGGTTCGCTACGACTGTAAACAAAACACTATTTACGACAAAAGAGCGACAGTCCATCACGTTTCGACTCTGTATGAAGAGTTCCCTTCAGAGTTTATACCCAACAGCTTAAACTATTAACTCTCGGGATCTTCACTTAGGATTGCGCCTAGAGATACGCAGCTATTATGGTACGAATGAGTCCGATTCTCGAGTTCAGTGCGGTCCAAATTCCTTCCAGATCATTAGAAAGTTTTAATGATTAGTAGTACTAATGACTCCTGTTTATACTGCTGGTTTGATGCAATGGGTCAGCGCGCTGACTTTCAAAATGTGTATATTTGAAAATACATAAGTGGCGTAAAACGATAGACAAAAGGAGGGAATTTTAGCGTGGAGTGGCTTACATTTTGCTTGATTTTTGGTGGGTGAAGTAAGGAGGAGTAAGGCACTTTGCCAGAAATTACTGACATCGCCGTGCAACGTAAACTACAAAGCAGCATTCGTTGTAGAAAAATGGATTGTGGGGCGCTGAGCAAGAAAGCCTTTTAGTGAGTTAAGACCTGGCTAACTTGTTATGATACCTGAGTTTTAAAAGACCGATCTTGGGTTTGTCACTAAAGTGACGTTAGCTAGCAAAATGCGGAGTACGATGAAACGGTGACTTGGACTGGAGATATTACTGCGGAACTCAACTCGACGGAGGAGCTTCACATATGCACTACAGATTCTCAAATGAGGGTATCAGAGAACAATGTGATTATATTATACACCGTTCTAAGTCTACCTAGTGGCACGGACTACAGTGGTCCACCTAGTCTTCCACAAACCAGACTCTGAAGTGTCCAAACTCTCCCTACCGAGGCAACCCTATTCAAAGAGGTAGAATCACACCTAGCTCGCCAAAGTTGGGTACAGCAGTGAACATTGAGTATTCATATGATCTGCGAATCAGAAATGGAACAGAGAGTAGACATCGTTGTGCGCGGACCTTGATGGTGATGACACTTCATGACGGCAGCGATTCGGTGTGGTATTGGGGTCGAACTCTCCAAGAAAGTCACCATAAGGCGTCCAAACTAGCAGCGGACTTGCGCTGATATAATCACATTGCCCCTGGTCAGGGTGTTACTGATCACCCCTTGACGCATTGAGTATTTCACAAAATATTGTAACCACCTGTTATAGCTCTACATAGGATAAGTATAAAACTATTTACTTCGAGATGGCTACATAACAGAGATGATAGTACACACTCATCGACAATTGAATGATTCTTCGTTAGCACTATCATATGTCAACTTATATGTTGAATGCAGTTCCGGGACGATTACATTGTCCGGGAGTTCTCTATAGAAAATATGAAACACTTATTCGTTTGACAAGTGAAGTGACACTTAAGAGTACTTTTCGGATAGCATGCTCTCATTAAAAGGTGATTGTTTTCAATTTGCGCCTTATCCAATTCAGTAATGTGGTGATACGGAACATTACCGAATGCAGTCATGGTTTTTCCCACAGGTTGCGAAAAGAAAAATGATACTTGATTTGGATCTTGTCTACCGTAGTTTTGACCTCCCACACAAGACAGTCATATGTTGGCTTCCGAATGCAAATGAACAACCAATGAGATGAAACTAAATCATTTGGATTTGGTAAGGTCGTGGCTGTACTGGAAGGAATAGAGTTGAGGAAAAATGCGACCATTTTCGTCGATAATGACCACCGGGCACCGAAATAGAGAACCATTTGCCTGATGTTTGGGATGTTTAACAACTTCATCGATGCATACCTTAAACGTATCCAAGTTCGACGAATTTAACTCGGTATTATAGTAGGAGTTGTAACTATATTTCAAAATACATAGTTTGATCACATACAAATTGCCGATCACGATTTGCAGTCAGCAGTGTCAACCTGATGGGAAATAAGCTCGATGGGAGGTTTACGGGCGACGATACACTCGGAAGGAACGACTGAGCCAGTTGAAAGTGGTTTTTTCAGCCATTCGATTCTATTGAAACCGCACGCTTCAAGTGCAAGCGCATAGGCAACTGGATCACCGCGACCATATCGGAGCCAACCACGTTCATGGTCTTGCTTGAGACGGTCAGGCTGGAAGCATGTGACGAGGCGCCCGTTTGGACGAAGGACACGCCATATGTTCCTAAGTGCATATTCCATGTTGTGCCAGTAGTAGAAGCAGTTCACATGAAAACAGGCATCCATGGTCGAAGCTAACTGAGGTAGATGGTCTACGCTGTTTAACGACAAATCGACGATTCCAAAAGGTATCAGTCTTCGGCACCGACTGGAAAGTAAAGAGTTGGAACTTAGCAGTCGAACACGGATGGTTTTGGTGTGATCCAAAAACGCGATAATTTTCCGAGGGAATACGGCATGCTTTGTGATACATAGCTTATGTTTTGTTTATGGAGTGTCTCGAACGATTAGTCAGATCAACGGACTCTCGAAACCTTAAACCCATAAAAAATGGGCCGGCGGCGTTTAACGTGAATGTGCTTACATGAAGAACAGTTGGCACCCAGCGTTGCGCACTCATCTGGGCCGTTTTGCTGGAGAGCGTTACGCTAAGCGCGAGACCTCATTAAAATACAAAACAGTCCATATTTGTGGAACCTTTGCAATCTGAACAAGAGACAGTAAACATACTTCCACTAGGTCAAAACCCCACTACAAGGGATGAATCATCACATGACAAAACTTTATAACCAATTTCTTTTACTCTGATTCATGAAAACATAAACGGATAGGTTCGCAGTGCTAACGAACAAGTGTGACGGTGATACTACTGATGGGGACATGCGAGTAGTATGTTTTCTCGTAAATCCGCTTTGCGTCTCTTGAAAAGTGAGACCTATTACAGAGCTTATGGAGTCGCTCTGTAGCATCTGCTTGCAAGTGAGTAACAGTAAATGAATATCCAGGAAAGTTCAGAAAGACGCATTCAAGGAGAAGATGGATATCCAGTTTTGTAAGCCGGATGTATATGAGCGTTTTGCTCCCCTGTCCAATAGTCTGTACCTCTGCAGTTGGCATTTTCCAAAAAATAGCTCCGCAGCGAAGGCCTTCTTCCTTTCACTAGTACAGCATGGGATTTTGACAATAGCGTGTGAAAACGAAACACGGGATAAAGTCAAGCAAGCTTTAAACCGATTCACTTTATCTCGAACGAGGGTTGTTTGAAGGTCAATAGAAGGTTTGCTGTAATGACCAACCAGTGACCCTGCGCAAACACAGTTGGAGAGAAGTAGACCGCGAGTGTTTTCGCCATGTTTTCATACCTGATGGAGGAGACATTCAGACACAACACAGAACCGAGATATAGGTTGTGCTCCTTAGCTTGTACATAATGCTCAACAGGTTACTCGCGACATGATAAGGACGACCGGTGCGTACTAAGACTGTGCTGAAGGATAGGACTGTGCTACGAATAGATTACTTATAGTCCGAAAGCAGAAGTCCAGTTGGTAAAAGAACCCGATCGTCTCGCGAAGGCAGATAAAAATACAAGATGATGTGAGCGATGCAAACTTCAACGAGCGATTCTGAGAACACCCATAATAGAGAATGACCAAAACAGTATCTCAGGCGTCTGTCACGTGTAGAACCTGAAAGAATAAATATATCCTAAGTTTGTGCAGTGCTATGGAATACATATGGGTTAAATAGGCTTGTTTGACTCATATATTTCAGGACCCTCGTAGACACAAATTTCGCTTATTAAAAATATCAGTCCCTCATATGTTCTACACGACAGCAGATATCCTAGAGTTAACACATCCTGAAGAAAATAAAAAGTTATGTGAGTTCATGTGTTAACGTTCAAAAGAGTTGTTCTCGACATGAACATATCGGTCAATCAGTCGGAGGATTCCAGTTACTCTGGAATGCACAGACTTCAGTTGAATCGACCCTTGTATCCCGTGTAACTTCACCGTATCGTTCAAATCGATACCAGTTTAAATAAAAGTAAAGCAGGTATGTCTTCAACTACTGTTTCTGAGTAGCATCATGGATAACAAATCCGTTTGATCCTGTGAGAAGGATGCGTTTGATGAGAACTTTAACTGAGAATTAGACAAACTTGAGGCAGCTAACATATTGTAACCCAGCTAGGCTGGCGGTTTGCGAATGCGCCGAGTAAGTGAAAACTACCGAAATTAAACTAAACTCGTCTGTGGTTTTATACGTGCACACCACAGCTTGACACACGCACACTTATCAACTACGTTATAGCCTACGTTACAAACGAGTACAATATCCGAATGTCTCAAGCGATGTGCAGTTACCACAAAGATGTCATTTCGTCACAAAAGGACAGTTGGACGAAGTGAAGTTACCAGTATAAAAAGAGAACTAAGAAGTCGGCTTCTGAAGGACATTAGTCGATTTACTGAAAATAACACGTCTCCATCAGGTACCGAATGGAATACAGCCATACAGGAAGATTTCTGAGAGAATGTTAAACCAAACGATTCCGTCAAGTTGATCAGTGCGCATAATAAGGAAGGGCACTTTGAAGCGTTTTGGTACCACCAACAGTGATATATTCAGACAAGTTTTAGATTGTCTACTGGTTGAATCTGATTGGCTGACTGACTGGCGGATAGTTTAAGAAGGGAGCTGATATGCTAACCAATAAATAAACCCAACGGTACTTGTCTTCGAAAGGGTGAACCAAACAGCAACTACTATCACATACTGGTGATCAACTAGAAGCGATGATCTCAAAAGTCCAACAGAACAGCTGTCGTACTGTTATTTCACTACCCAACTATATGCGGCGGAACAATCAGGGATATGACCAAAGAGCTGTGATTTCCAAAGGATCCTCTACCTAGCCGCTTCACGGCCAGCTGTTCCGCGCTGGACTATGAGACACATTTTGAAGCAGTCATCAATCGCTAATCGTACTTCAAGCGGCGAAGAGCAATCATCGATTTCCTGATTGTATATGCCGCTCCAATTGATATGATAAGCCTTTTTGCTTAGATGATTGGTCGATTGGATCGTCTGATTGTGGGAAGTTCGTGCTCCTCATCCATCGGACAAAACAACGGCTCTGGTCAAACCTCAACATTTCGCTGGTACGGTTACCCATCCACTGTTTGGCGAGACGCCTGTGTGCTTTGGTATGGACGAATTTTTGTAGGCGTGGCGTCCATCGTCAACTATCCATGAAAACAACCGATCAGGGCATCTGGCTTTGCGGTCAGTTCTGTCAGTCAGTTTATAGACTATAAGCCGTGCAGCAAGGGTACTCTGGGTCCAGCTGCTACAACTGGAAAACTGATCGAGCTGGGAAGACAGAGACAAGTATTGGAAGCGGTGGCGTGGTCATTTAGTTAGAACTGAACTAGTTTAGCTATCTAAAGGAACTGGAAACTAGGCAGCCACGGAGGGAAGACAACTGCTTTGATGCACGTGCGTCCCGTCGTTCCGGACAGGAGTTTATCTCAGTTTTCTGAATTCAGCGGGATCTGAGAGAGCGGGATGTTTGTGTACGTGCGGCAACTAGTGAGGTGGATTGATTAGAATTCTGGGCAAACACAAAATAGCACCTACCGGTTAGCTAACTTGAGCATGTAGTTAGAAATATCCACACCAGATACGTGGCCGTCTTCGGTAAACTTAATATCAGGCTTCCAAAGTCGGTCAGTAATCCGAAGCAGCGGGCCTTGCTTTCGCAGGTAGTCCATTGTGAGGGGAGCTACACGCTCAGCTGCAAAAATGATCCCATATCCAGGACCAAAGCCGATTTCAAGCACATTTTGACCTGGCCTGAAGAAGGTGAGAGGTGGGTAGTAGGGACCGTAGAACGTAATACCAAAAGGGGTGAAACTAGGTTAAACCTTAAGTGGAGAAAAAGGATTGCTGCCATTTTAAAAAACTGACAAGTCGTTAATTTCGGCGTTTAGTTGGAGAAAACAAGGAAGCGAGATACTGCAATCTTGCCATGCTTCCAAGAAAACATTGAAAAAATCAATGCTCGACACTAAGTACAGACTTCTTAGATGTGTGCCTTTGCCTTTGGGGCTGGCGAGTAAAGAAAACTCCATACAGCTGACATAGCAATCTGCGGACAGTGAGTTATACGCTCCTCAGGGAGTTTATTGTACTAAGGATAAATTGTGAGAATTGGAATAAATTTTAACCCACTTGAATTATACCACTTTCCTGGGATAGCTACAACAGAAGAAACACTCTCGAACAAGAACGGGAGCTCTATCAGTTGAGGCGCTGAAAACTTACACAAGTTACTTGAATTACTTAAGTTAGCTAAAATATTTTACTACCTGAGTGATCTCATCATCCGAGTACTCAAAACGCTTCGAATGCAACCCAGCCCTCAAGGTATGAGAGACAGGCGTATTGTTTCAAGCAACAAGTCAATGACAACTCACATGGTGTCCGGAGGCCAGCCGCCCCTAATGGCCGAACATCACATCATTTGGACGCATGTGTCACGTGCAGGACACGGACCAAAAGAAGGCATGCCCTGGTTGTTCAGAATGCCAGCCAGTCCGGATCGAGCATCTTTGACTCCACGCTTCTCGCTCCCTCACGGAGGTTCTAGCACGACCTTGTGGAACATTCTATGATTACCCTATAAATACAGTCCTAATAACTTTCCTTTGTCTCCATAAAGGGCTGTGTAGAGCTACCGTGCCTTTTGGTATACCATAGTGGGCGGAGTAGGAAGCCAAGGGACCGATACAGAGTTACACTACTGCTCAGCAAAACATAACACATGGTTCCTGAAATCCCACAACCGGAATGCCGTTCTTGGCACTAATAAGACAGCCGAAGTCCCCTGGTTTCCGTTAATCTTGTGCTTCACTTGAATCCAAATTGTGCAAAATTCTCGAATTTCATGCCTGGGGCACCCTTGATATTCCGGAGACCGTGGAGTCGAAATCAATCTTAAGCTAAAGAGAAAACTGCCGTAGCTTATCAGTTGGAGGGAGTTGTACTAAGTGAGAGGTAATCACACCGCTGATCAGCCAAACAGTTAAGAGTTCAAATTTGTAGCCTGGAATTAGCCGGTTCGAAACTCTGTCGAGTTTCGTGAGATGCGCACTGCTGATAATTCCCACTGAGGAGGAAACAGCTGTACAGTGCTTCCCGACTTTTCAGCATAGCGTGGCCTCGCTTAGAGGACGAAATCTCCAAAACTCCTCACACTAACAACAAACTGTATCAATACTTGCTGGAATTTAGTCTAATGAAGTGCTTTCAGTACTCTGGAGGCAGAGCGCGACTCCCGCACCAGATATCTGAAATAGGTTAAATGAATGGACACATCCTAATCGGTCCGCGGCGTTGCTAAACTTTTTCGGAGACACATTATACGATGATAAGAGGGGAAGCCCAATTTTAACAGGGAAGTTGCCCGCTTCGAGGCTTCGTTTTCATAATTTAACCTACAAAACATTGAGGTTCTTTCTGGAGCCCCAACCATGGTCTTCGGCTTACCGGTCTGATATGCATGGCAACAAGTTTGCTCGGGGAAACCATCCAGCAGCCACTGACTGAAAAGTCCAACCCACGTGATTGTGTGGACACTGGATTGTTCCAGTGATGCGAGGAGTAAGGCACGGATGCCAGAGTTCTCGTGCTTTTACGTACAAAAATGCACTTGCGGCTGCATCTGGCTCTTGGTAGAATTTAGTGGCTTCTCGACCTTATTGGTCAAAACCAACTGTTAAGGTATTATATGGTGCGGTTTTAAGGGCTTGTCTATTCTGAAACGTGTCTTAGAGCACAGCACAGCACAGCACGTCAGACCATGGCAGCACTCAAGTACGACAATCACGCCAAGGCAACAGCCATTGCCAGGGTGGTGTGTTGCCATCAAAAGACGGGAACCGTTAACCATAGGAACGCAGTCATCACCTACTAGTAACAACACAAGAGGTACTCATCCTATTTCTGCAGGCTGAAAACCATACGGTGGTACGCCGTTTGAGCGGACACACTCCTTGATGGAAAACGAATTTTGGATCCTGGTTCGTGCATGCGAAAACTTTTGTTGTCAAGATGGACCGCTTCATGAAACCAATAAGAAATACTTCCACTCAAATGACTAAAACTCGATTACTGTCGGTTAGTACAGTGTTATCAAGCTGATTAGATTACAATACTCATTGGAGGACGCTAAGGGAAAAGGGCAGTTGGACTCTCCTTGGACGGAGCATGTCACGCGTGATCATGACTGACAGGTAGGAATGAAGAAATGTTTCCCCAAGTATCTGTCGACTGATCACTAAATTTCGAAAAACTGAAAAAAACATGGGTGAGAGCCGCAGTTGACAAAGATGCAAACGATTCACCGGACACCTAGTAAAAATTCATCGATGTGACAGACATTGCTTAGTGGAATGCGACCAGGAAAATAATCTTCGATTATTGGATCACAACAGGCATAATCTAGCCGAGTCCCCAGTGTTGAAGGCACATGTGAACTATGTATCGGAGGCTGCTAATTGGGACAGTATTTGTTTTACAAATCCATTTCCCCTAATATGAATGTGCCAGCATCATAAGAGCTAACGAGGTACTAAAGATGTACGTCACCAAATAGAATGCATTATTGTATGGTGGGTAAAACAGTGAGGATGGTGTAAGAGAATGTAAACTGCAGGAAACGGATCGACTGATTTGAGGAGGATGGTGGCAAGAATAGAGTAAGGGGTGGGCATCACCACAAAAATTTACAGAGCTGAAATACTTCTTGAATATTCCCATGGTTTAAAAAATAACACAGTGACGAACATTAATGTTTTCGGGATCTCATCATCAGACAATCGTTCGTGTCTCCACGTTTTTGCATTTCACTAACCAATCTTCGTAGCATATTTCATTTTTCTCTCTCATTTTAACCATTAGATATGTACTGAAATACTTCTGTTTCGATTCACAAGTTCGTTCTTCTCATTTCGATCACCATTCACGGTATTGTTAAGAGAAATTGTTCTGTCTTGTTTGACCTATCCCCTCGGCAGGATTTGCTTCGATTTCATACCGTTTTCACATCTATTTTCAAGACATCACACACCCTTCCTTCGATTTCCAAGCTTTCTGTTATCCAAAAACTGTCTGTCTTTTTCTTGGTTTCTCCGAGTACGCCATAAACCGGCCATAAAACCAACCATCACCACATAACTCCACACGGACAAACGTTTGTCGGTTTCCAGCATGAAATGCTCTTCATCATAACCCAAGGTTGATAGCAACCAAGTGGTAGCTTACCACAGCCCATTAACTATCGAAGCAGAACTGGAATTAACCAGCAGAGCGAAGTAAGAATATGCTAACAGTAGAGGGATAGTAAGCGCATCTGTGCAGACTGAGATGAGGAACGAAAATGAGTGGGCAAGCAAACTACCTGTGCTTTTGCTTCTGGCTGCAGTCAGCGTCGCAAGGACAACAAAAACCCTGTCAAATTCGTTTGGCTGTCGTCATAGGAGCAGACTTTGTGGAGGGACGGGATGTGACACTATCGTTACTTGATGAGATGGAGGGCGAGTTTATCGCCTTGCTCTTACAACATGCACAGTTTAGAGAACGGTTAGCTCTCAGAAGTCCAATGGGCTAGGTGTATGGACTGAGTGCAACCACCTCAATTGGCAGACAGTGCATCCTTGCCTGTGAATACTGTGCTGTTACCACTATTACAATTCCTTACCGCTCGCTTGTGATACCCAAATTCCAACGGGAGTCTGTTCTTCAAACCAGCAATTGGATTAGTGTGAAGAATAGGTGCGACCTTGTGGGCTCTCTCCACTTGATGGTGTGTATTCGGTGCACGGCGTTCAGCTTCAGAGGCACTGAAGAACCGGTCGTGTGAGCTGCACGGTTTTGGCACACTATTTCAGGTAGTGAGAGGCGCATTGGTTACGGAAGTTACGTCAAAGCATTCATGTATATTAACCGGTCACAGACAATGAAACCGAATCAAATACTTTCGAGATATCAACAAATGCCAAGCTGAAGTTAAAAGCGGTCGTTGAAGAGTGACGAAGCAGGATATGTAAGAGCGATGCAGCTTCCAAACAACCGTCTCGATGTAGAAATGCAAACTGGAGTGAGAGGTGAGAACAAAATACTGAATTGTGTGGATTTAGTACATCAAGCCTGGCGTGAAAACATAAGAAAGATGGTTGTTAAAGCTCATTCATTACCAATCACTGCATTTAACACAGGTTGGATAAGCCCTGAGGTTCATGTGATCAATATGGGGTTGTATTTGCAACATTTAAGAGCTTATCGGACCTGTACCTGATTGACAGTCAGCAGTATCAAAGGGAATATCTTTAGAACGAGATGTCACAACAAAACTTGTAGTGAACTACCTTGTGTCCTCAAAATGTATCTGATCAATAAGACGTATGATAAACGAGAAATCAGTCAGTTCAGTCATGCGCACCATGCTCTGGTCAATATATTTTAGAGAATGACAAGCGATGATCTTGGATCGTTATCCCGCTAAAAGTTCACTTGTGAAGAATTTATACATCACAAACTCAAGAGTGAACAATTTCATTTGGGCTTCTATCCACTGCAGTGAGAGACATTCCAGTATACCAAAAGATAATTATCAAGACTTCTTTTCAGCTCTTGAAACGTGGACATCTAATAAGAAGAAATAGCACTCTAATGTTCTCACAAAGCTCTCAACTTGTCCACCTGAGCAGGGATGTTGAGCAGCGTAGAGATGTTCGTATTCACTGTAACTGAAAGAGTGAAATTCGACCCAATGTCCTTCACGGGAATCATCAACAATCATTCACGGATGAAAACTCTTCCCGAAGAATACATGGAATTCTATAGGTGCATGAAGAGGGTTATATATTCTTAAGAAAAACAGCCAATAACCACCAACCCACGGAAGTAGTTCAAGTATTTTTGAAATTGGCCAAGCGCCGTTGAATTCGGGCTGTGAAACCAATTTGACGGTATTTTCCCCGATTTGTGTCAGCACTGAACGCGCAACGTTGCGTTCCGCCATAAATCAAAAGCAAAGGTAAGTCGCCAGCAAGTGAATAGTGGGGGGAATTAATCCTTCCACTCCAAAATGATCAAGGTGTATGTCTTCTAACAAAATTGCGCATGGTACGAGGAATCACTTTTCTGTCGTTTAGGTAAAGGATACCTAGAGTGGCTGATAATTTATCGGATCGAGCAAAGAAGCTTATGAACCGCTGCTTTGTGTTTGGACCTTAACCTCTTTTAATGAGGTTTACCGGACGCCTGAGATAGCTAATGGTGCAACAACAGTTACAACCCCAATCGGCTAATATGCCATCATGAGGTTCGGGTTCTAGTGCACTAAGTTCTGCAGCAGCACTCTACAGTTTGCGTGTGTGAAACACATGATAAACCACAGGGTTAGCATTACGACGGTGTCAGATTTAAGTAGATCCATGTCGTCTGCGTACCGGACATCCATGAGCGGAATCCCTCGGAGCTTTCCGACTTCACAGACCCTAGAGGCTGGTAGTGAACCTTCCGTAATCGTATCAATGGCGAACTTAAAGAAGGGTGAAAGAGGACAACCTTATTTGACACCACTTGATGTGGTGAACTGAGGTGTAAGCCTTCAAATATCTGCGAAATTCGGCCTCAAGAAGGGTCAAGAACTTTGGGGGCAACCTTTTCTCCGTAGACACTGCCATAGTGCCTGAGTATTTACAGAGTCAAAGGCGGTCTTCAACCACACACAACCAGTGTTTGTCGCTAGAAGCAGTGTCGGTGTTCCGGAATCTGTCGAAGGGTGAAAATTTGATCGATGAATTCTCTTGCAGAACGGAACCGAGTTTGGTTTTCACGAATCTGCCTCAGTGTTCGGTCAACTTTCGACGCGATGCCACGTTGGTTTTCACAGTGTCTGTGTACCCTTTTTGAAGATTGGAATAACTGTTGACACGCCCCATTCTACAAGCGATTTTTCTTCGCCCCATATATTACCAGTAAGCTTTGTTCGATGAGTCGTCAAGGGTTCTCAACCTTCTTCGAACAGAACTGGATACAGACCGCCCGGTCCCGGTGACTTCCCTTGTTTCAGTACGGATATTTTCTACGTTAGTTCTTCTCGCGCGTGGTTAAGGTTTAAATTCCATTCGCCCGTACGCACTGAGGTTTTGTTGTTGCAGGCCAGCTAAACTGTTCCTCGAAGTGTTCGGTCCATCTTTCCAGTCGATTTTTTGAAATTGAATTAATGGTCCGCCTTTCTTTTCACTTTTTCTTCACTATCGGTTGCTTTCCTGTGACCAGTCGATCGTATCAATTAGTATAGGGTATGGCCGTTTCCGGTAACGAAAGCATTCTGCATCTTCCGTGTTGTGGAAGTCCACCAAATCTTCCGGCTTTTCCATAGGCCTTCCATTATTTGGCATTTGAAGGCTTTGCGTGCGCCATTGTAATCGTTGCCTGCTGGTGTGGATTTCCTGGGACCAGCCAGTGCTAGCGATCTCGGTGTTTTCCAATGGTCATTTGTTCGTATCAGAGAGCACGGACTGACAGTATTGAACGCCACTAGCATAAGTCCTTCCACATTTTTCAATGCTTCATCCTCGTGCTCACAACCACTGAAAGTGGGAAAGCCCTTCGATGAGAAGTTAACTATTGGAAAACATAAACTAAACAGTTACAAGTCAGTAGACACGAGGGAGGAAAACTTATCTAAGGTTTTTTGAAAATCGAAACATTCTCAAGCGTTCTATGGGATTTTCTGGATGTTCATTGAACAACAAACACTGCACAGTAATCCACAGTAATCTTCGCCTTCCATTGGATGTGAAGACGGAGCTTGGACATCAGACCATAGACGACTTGCATGATCCATTAGTAGTATACGCCATTACACCAGTACAGTGGTGGTTCTCTGTAGAGAATAGTTGACCCAGCTCAGCTCGATAGTTCTCAGAAGATCGCAGAATGACATGTTTGTTGTTGACCTGCGGGGACCTCACGGGCGTGCTAGCACCATGGCGTGATCGGAATCAAGCTCTGTGCCCCAGAAGGAACGGCATTCTTGAGTCGTGGCTCTTCACCGGTGGCTAGTGGCCACGTGATCCAAATGGGCCCACGGTTGATTTGCACTTGGTGGCCGTCAGGTTACGCAATGCGAATGTTTATGCTGGAAGTACGTACTAGTCAGAAGCAGTTAACGATCAACGCATAAGTGGAAAGTCACTCCCTTGTCTGTGCGACAAGCATCGACTCCGAAGCGACCACGTACGAGTAATTCCAAGAAGCTCAGACGACTGTTTTGGCCAGCGAGTGCAACATTCACGTCATATATTCTACAAGTCACCGCTTCTGGATCATTGGACACACAGAGAGTGAAATGTGAGAGAGCTGAGTTCATTTTGGAAAGCATGAACACGGTAGGGTCTTGTATGCGTGTTTCAAAGACACAGTATATGCCAATTTTAGGGGAGCATAAGTTCTCACCGAGCATCGACTGTTTTACAATTTGGCGCAGAGTATGGACGCTACCAGCTCCTGTACAGGAAAGATTTCGTGGAATTAGCAAGTTGTTATTTTGCTTATTGTTAATAAGTAGCCGGAAGCACAAGGCCCATCGACCAGGAAACTGACAATCAAATAACTCAACAAAGTTTGCTTGTGTGGTGTGAAAGGTTTGGGGGGGACATCACTGGACACAGAACTGTGCGAGCAAATGGCACCTCCCGGTTACCCAGGCCGAGGAAAGGGGTTTGGTTAAAGTATCCCGCCTTGAGCCTTTAACTCAAAAGTTTGACTCACAAGGTAGTGCGAGGAGGTCGGATTTTTTCGAAGAACCTGCGAGGCAGCGGAGCTTACTTTGGATACCCTGCCCGGAGGTGATGACACTGTGCGAGTGGCACCTCCCGGTTACCCAGGCCGAGGAAAGGGGTTTGGTTAAAGTATCCCGCCTTGAGCCTTTAACTCAAAAGTTTGACTCACAAGGTAGTGCGAGGAGGTCGGATTTTTTCGAAGAACCTGCGAGGCAGCGGAGCTTACTTTGGATACCCTGCCCGGAGGTGATGACCCAATAGTTTGAGCTGCTTGGTTACATGGGGCTGACCGATGGAGAGTAGGTATTCCTGTCTCACTCCTGATGCCGCTTCGCAAAGCAGGTGCGATTTGGAAGTATTTCGACCGCACTGAATAACCCGTCGGCAGTCACTATCAGCCGCCTTGCGATCAGAGTGTGTGGTTTTTACGGCAATCATTTTCTATCCTGTTCTTCCTCGCTGCGTCTAGTAATGTGGATATGCTCCTCACGTGAGGGAAACACCCTACCGCCTTCATACCCGGTATCGCAGGGGGCAGTATGAATTTACCCCCAAACCGCTTCGTAGCACGATTACTCTTCGTACAGTGTCTCGCTGCTCTTGGTCCGACTGCTCTCTTTTTGGCTTTCCTGGCATGAATGCACCTTGTGGAACGAAGTTCTGGTCAATGTAGACCGCGAGATCATCGCAGCACTCAAGGGCGACTACTACATTGAGGCGGCGGCTTTAGGTCGGGTACTTAAATCATCAGAACTTAAAAGCTGTAATTCCCTCTATACCAGTCGTGTGTCTGGTGGGTTATATTGATCCGCTTCGAAAATAACCTAACTTTTAGCGCTGTAATGTACGGAATCAGGTTACCAGTTGTTAACTCAGTGTCTAGCCCCAACATAACTTGTTGAGTTGACGTCACGGTTACTACACGGCGCTTGGCAGTTAGGGAATAGCCGTAAACACGACAGCCATAGGTGGGTACTAAAAAAGTTTGCACGATCATATAAGGGGATTTCATTCGAATGGAATCGGTCATAAAAGTAATCAAGCCAGAATGAAGAAACCTTATCGGATGAATCCTGAAGAGCTGGTTGCCAATACTCATCCTTATGATGTATTTCAGTTTCGTAAACACAGGAGACTGTCAGTCATACAAACCAGAGCATGCTCAGAATATAATTTGTTTAGGGTTGATCAGCAACTTTAAGCTCCTTGACAAAAAACCGCCCTGTGAGTTTTTACTACGAATAAATCGTAACAATGGACGATGCTACGTCGTTGTTAGTGGACGATAAGTACCCACTATTCATTTTGACTGTTTCTGCGTCACTAGCTATATCGGCTATATCAATTAATGAAAAATTGGAAACACCAACCTCATGGCCATTCATCGCACCTGACTAACGCTGATCCCTTAGTGATGATTAGCTCCTAACGTGATCTCATTTACCCAGATGTAGAAAACCGGTTCTCAGCACAGTCACTGTCAAGCAAGTAACTAACCTTAGTTCACACGCGTCTACCGCAGCAGCCTCCAATGGCACGTTGCACCGTTTGAATAAAGTTTGATTGATATACCATGAAAATGGGTTATTATCTGGCCTTTTCAAATTCCGAGCAAATTGAACGGCGAGCAGCAGACGAATATGATCGAGCTGAAGTAGGAGAACCATTCAACCTGGTTAGTAAAACCAAACGTGGCGAAACAAATATCCAAGCGGAAAAATTTGCGAAGTAATAAAATGCTATGCAGAGAGGTCACCTATAAAGCCACAATTAACTCGTTTGTCATATCACCAGAGGGCTTCATACAACAAAATGTTGGTTGGAGTATTTAACTTAGAAAAAAAACAGAGAAAAACAAGAAAAGGTGAAAGTATCGCAGGCCTTCGGTACCAATCTAGAAACAAAGTATCATCGGGGTCGCAGTAACGTCGAGAGGATTTGACGACAAAGACTGCATTCAAATGGTCCTCTTGGTTACCAGGTCACGCGCAGTTAAGACAACTTTTTGATAAAAAGTGTCGTTTACCCGACCGTAAATATATAGGATGACTAATTGGCCAAATATGCTCGTTCACTTGTTCGCTCCATACAGCCAATGGTGGTGTTCCGGTCGTGAGCATTCTCTCTGTGTGCAAAGTCCTGGTGCCAACCCGGAGAAAATATCTACCCCCTTCCAACAAATGCTGAAGCTAACCAGCTTATTAACAACAAATCTGGCAAGAGATGGAAAATCCAGAACAATTAGTGATGCGAATAGTCCAGACTGCGACTCAACGAGTAGATGTAGCAGAAGTGGACTACCTGATGCATGGGTTCAACGTTCACCCCACGGCCAGGTAGTCGTCGACGTATATTATTTCGACCAGTCCTTGTTTCGATTAGCTCACGCTCCGAGTTTCTACGAAGATTATAGTGTTTTAATGATTGGCTAAGTGCTTTCAACTCTTTCGATGTCTGGTAATTATCCGGTCCTCCAAAATGATGGGGTAGTCGACTGTCTACTCACAAGTAGTGAGATCTTCAAACAAGTTAACGCACGACTAATTTTAAGCCCAAAGCGAGCTAAAAAAGCTTTCTCTGTGCATAGGACAAGTTCCGGCGGAAACTGCAGAATTACATTCCTCGATTAGAATAAGTGTACAAAGCAAGCGCCATTCTGAAAATATATACCGAGAGGATCAATATCTGCCGATAGGCGCAACCATCATTTGCACGTCTCCCCGAAGTCAAAAACACTGTCACCGGCCGTAGTGCTATGGGTGGAAAAATGAAAGCAAACTTATCGTTTCATAACGGTTTGGTTAACAACCGGTAGTTGCTAATTGGGCAGCGTTTCGCTTTTGACACAAAAGCTTCATCAGGCCAAATAAGCACGTCACATAGTTTGCCAATTTTAAAGCCAAATAAGCCGTCACATAGTTTGCCAATTTTAAAGGCAGACAAAGAACCAATCAGTGAGGTGTCTTCATATCGGCGCACTAGACCAGTGTTAAGTGACAATTAACGGCTCTTGTCTGTTAGTGTGGTTGCCGAAATCTTGCGCCGATGGCTTGGGGAGTTTCAAATTAGTTCGGGTTTGGTTTCTTATTCTTTCACTCCAATGTGCCTCGATCGACCATTCACCGCCACCGGTAGATATCGTTGGTCTTCGTGGGGGGAAGGTGGGTGAATTTAAGTACGATCCGGATGATTAGTCTTGACAACCACACACCAACACGTGTCAATTGGACTGATCGAAAACCTTTCACCACACACTTGCCGGGTCCATGCCTTAGAAGGCGTGTTATCTTCACTCACCACCATCACAACCTCTGGTTTTTGCCACCGGCTGTTACAGAATTGTTTATCAACAGAGTTCCATTATAAACGCATGTTGACACTGGCAGTTCTGAAAGCCACATCGTCTTGCGTAGCATGCAGTGTAAACGGAAGAAGCGAACGTCACGGTCGTAAGCTGCAAGAGCAAATATAACATTTACCAGTCGTTGTTATATCACGGTATGGTATCAGGACATGTAGTAAAGCCTAAGACTCGGTACTACCGAACTTGTGCTCCGATGTCCTACTTGGTCATGATTTCCCAGAGCTCCATAAAAAGCTTCAAAATTTCTTTACAAACGAAGCCACCTCGTTCTTTGTTTGATATCACTGTCTTCTGATGATAACTCCAACCCCTATTCAGGACTTCTGTCAGCTTCAAGACAATTATTGCAAAGTTAAGACGATAGTGTGCTGTTGATGATGGATTCATTAGCATGGAATTCACTCCTATGTTGAGGTTAGCGAATTCGATCCATCTAGGTCTCCGTAGCAAACCAGATACCTCGACGATTCAAGCGATAGACATAAAAGAAGCACCGTTACAGCCATACAGTCAAGTACATCTGCTGTGTCCCATATACAATTCTCATAATGGATGTCCCTGGATGCTTAGTTTAGTTTTCCCAACCAGCGACACCAAAAACAACCCAAAACCCATATCGACACGCCACACGGTGCCTTCGAGGCCTGTGGAGGCATATGTAAATCCCGTCGCATTTCATCTGAAATAACGAACGCAGTGGTGTTTTCAACGAGTAATGGATGAAAAAACTTAGACACTTTTACTTGCGCTGATAACCTCACTATCCGTGGATGTGATATAGCTGAGCATGACCGAAAAGTGAAGCGATCCCTTAGCGTAGTGAAGTAATAGGGTATAACTCTCGATGACTCAGAGGGTTCTGTTGCTCACAAAACAGTCAGACTCCTTGGCTACGAAGTGCCTAATAGCGCCATCAAACCCGAGCCGCAGAGACTGAAACCACTGTGATCTCTTTATGCCTACTAACACTAAGTCCCAAGAACGCGTAATTGGGCTGTTTTCTTAGTACTCTCCAAGTGTTTCCCACTTGTACACATTCGGCCACTGAAAAGGAGGAACACATCGTGATTGAAACGATTCGAAAGTGAAATCCTTTTCCTCATGTTAATTCCTTCAAACTCGTTACTAACCAACGTGTTGCTGCTTTCACGTAAAACGACCGAGTTAGGAGTAACTAAATACTGTGCTCGCAAATCGAGTAACCACTGGACGATCAGGACATGGTGTGCCGACCAAGAGAAAACCTGATACTTGACACTGCCGCGCGGTTGATGCGATGCTCTCATGAACAACTATACCTTAATGAAACTTTGTATCATCCAGGTTTTCCCGAACGTTATATTTTGTACATTCAAAAATCCTCCATTCCCTGTTGAAAAAATACGCCAAGCCATCAAATTGTCCAGCATTTTCAGAAATGAAAACACGATTCCATCATTCTATTGGTCGCTAATTAGTGACTAACGGTGATTTTATTAGACCTCTTCCGCCGATATCTAGCGTCCATTATAGTCTCACAATCACTGATGAATATTTCAGGTTTCGTCCTGACGTGTAATCCTATATGTGTACATGTTCGATTCCAGAGTTACCAAGATGAAACTTAACCCATCCGTCACTTGGTTCCGAAGGCTGTCGAAGAGGTGGAATTGACGATTCGGTGACTACTTCTACCTGAAGATATCACACCCCCAAAGTTTCCCCCGTTTCTTATGAACACACTAACAGTGAAGTACATAGTTCATAATAAAAAGAGTACGCTTATGTAGTCCACTTCCAACAGAAGTCTGACAACAATGTCCCCGCATCACTTTATTAAGGAGAAAATTTCATGCAATTTGGATAACCGTTTCTATTACCAGAAAGCTTGCTACTGACCAAATCTTTATAATTCAATTTCGCACATTTTCCACCTCCCTTATATCATACGTCACACAACATTGCCGTCCGCCAATGTCGGCTTTTCCAATAATTCTACCAGTGAAGGAAAATGAAGTGTTATTATTCATCCTACTCATTATTCCGATTACAGTACCAGCTACGTTTACTGCATACTTAATAAAGCGGTGATTCGAGCATTCCCGTCTTCTTATTTATGCCGGTCATCTACGTCTGTCTGCTCATTTATCTAGATAGCAACAGCTAAAGCGGGTGATAGCGCCGTGCAACAGTCAAAACTGGCTCTACATGTTGAAGAGATAGACGACAAACTCGAAGCCCCCATAACTCCTTTGTACCTAGCGGCACAACCACTGCAATAGCGTTTCTTGATTGGCCGTGAAATACCAACTTGGACATGCTTCACTTATATTTATCCAAAAACAGAGGTGTGGAAAAATAGGAAGCCAATAGGAAGCCAATACAACAGACCAGACAACCAAGCGTAAATGACAACAAAAGCCCACTTACGATGATGCTAGTAGTTGAAAAAAGCTCCAGTAAAACTCCGTAGACAGTGATCATTGGGAGAAAAAAGTTACTATTTACTCATAGCTGTGACCATGGCTCGCAGATGCAAACAGGATCAAACGTAAAACATTTTATGCTATTATATCCTCAACAGAAAGATAGCACAATTGGAACACTAAGGTATCCAGAGGAAGAACGGCTACGCTCTTCAGTAAGTCGTAGCAGGGCAACGACCACAAATTTACATACTTCTGAAAGACTTCTTTATTGCAAATGACGCAACCGCTTATACTGTCGCCGTGAATGAATTAACTAGGATCATCAAGTAGATGCCATGCTCATTGAAAAAGTCAGGGAACACTCGTCTTCTGTGACTACTTCACTACAGACCCAATCATACGACGGCTATCCGGAACAAACAGTCCGGGTGAAGTGTGGTACAAGTACAAGTGCGTGGTACAAGTAAAGCACATAATGTCGGATACGGCTCTTCACTCCATTGAAGCCTATAGTGATGCATCCATGGTCGAGAAGAAAATCACTACTAACCAAATGTATGTGCCCTGGGTGACGTTCAGTTCCACTTCATGCATAACCGTCTAGGAGCACTGAGCTCATTCGCTTCAAAACACAGAATAATGACTGTCTGTGGAAGCCCATGCTTATCCCAAGTTTGACCAAATGTCCGTGGTACCTAATGTATGTTTCGCAGCGAAAATCAGCACATGAAACACGAAAATTAAACAAGAACTAACCTATCATTATTTGAGTATGTTCGTGGCCTTAAAACCAATCATTAGTGAAGTAAACAGTCTCGATTTACCCGCTCTGTGTACGCGGAAGATAGAATGAAAAAAACATTCAACGACTGAAGGTAGCAATAGTCGGGAGATCAATGGTTCTCTGGAGTCGAATCCTGTGTCCGATGTTCGTGTCATTTCCATGAGGAAATCACTTTATCCTGAAGATCAAATAGTTGTAGTCCTTGTTTTAGCTGTTTACGCGAACCACATTACCCAACATGCGGAACTTTCACTGACACTTCTCACGCGAGACTCCCAATCTTTTTTATTCTGACCACGCTCCCTACTCCACGAAATAATGTGGTTCGCTTCTTCAATTTGCCCCTTTCTGGAGGAGTTTCTTTTCCGTCCTGAGAACTCGCACAGGTCTTTCCTACTCAGACGCAAATAGTTACACCCCATCACTTTCACAACAGTTTGCCCCCAAACCTCTGGAATTATCACCTGCGAGTTAATTAACGTTCGGATGGAATAGCACACTGGACGGACATCAACAGAATTCAGACAGACTCTCAAAAAGATGACCTAGCGAGGTACATGCCACAGTCCTGGGAAATAAAAATGGTGGCGGGTGACATTTCGAGAGCAAGCTTACCTTCACACTACAGACGCACGGATTACGTACAAGAATGGTTAGTTGGGGTTGCAGACCGGAAAACTTAAGCGCACCTGGAAGGCTTTCACGTGGTCTAACTTGCTGCTCGAATTTCATTCTTCCGTACGCTTCAGCATCGTCGATCATACTTGTTACGCTATCTCTCATTGTCCAACCCTGCTAACTACCGGCCACGCTAACTTTCCAATAATCTTACATAGAAGACTATTATTCTGAAGACTGATATAATTTACTCCTCCATTTTTCCCAGTTGTCCTCTCTCCATTGTGACTCATTTGCAGATCAATTTATTTTGCACGGGAGACTCAAGTGGATCTCTTAATTATGGTGTTCTTCCACTGATAGTATTTCTGTTAAGCTTTGTTATCAGTCTCAATTGTAAAATCCACGACCCCAGTGGTTTACCTGGTTGGTGCATAAACCGCAGCGAATGCAGTGAAATTCGACCTTTGTGCTTTTACTTTTGTCCTCAAAGAGTTCTAATACACCGTCCCCTTATTTTTCTACCAGAAACCATACCCATAAGATCTCCGTCCATTTCACCAGTACTCATGTAACAAATAATCCCCGACGCTCTCACGTCACTTGGATGCAGCATTCCCCTTATCCTAAAGCTATCATCACGATTAATATTGCTCTGAACCTGATATCCTTACAGTCGAGCTATCAGTAGCATGTCATCGTAGCAGACATCAAACCAATTCGTTTGCTTCTACCGGTACCCAACCTTGGAACTCTGACTTCCATGTTATGACCTCCGACTAACTAACTCCAGCTTACACTGTTTCTCGGAAGTTGTTGACTGTCTGTTGTCCACTTTGCACAAACAGAAGACTGATAATGAGGACAGAGCAAAACTAATTATGGGGCTCAAAGACAGCATGGAAAATGTTTGAATTACTCTAGCTAAAATGCTGTCAAGAGGTCCACAATATAATGAGGTAGCATGAGAGAGAAATAGTTCCGACAACCAAATCTCTCAGGGAGCATTGAAACGACAAAGTTCAGCTAATTTGGTTTGTTTCTAGATAACACACGCCTTCGTCAACTGCGAGCTGGGCGGTAAGAGTACCAAAACAATCGGAAGTATGTGCCCCAGAAAGCACAGCAAGATTGAGCAGTGTATACTTTGATGTCAGTCAAATGATTAGACGTTCGACCGGATTAGCATGACGGAACTAGCTGGGAATGGTTACACAATTGGCTGGTGCCTACGGATGCAATCAATGCCAATAACAAAAACAACAAGAAACAACAAAGCACAATTAAACACTGATGTCTAACTGCGTACAACAATGAGTTACTGGGAAACCTTGTGACGAAAACAATAAAACTGGATGGTAAAGGGAATTAACGCCAGCCTACAACAGCTATTCCGAGGTGTCTAAATTTTTAGGTGGAATAGACTGGAAGACGTTCGTTGTCGAGATACTGACCGTTTCTATTTTATCCACACACGATCACAGATCGAATATCTGCCACTCAGGACCAACGACCATGGTCAAATACAGTAGGGAACAGAACATAACAGAATAGTTCTGTTCTGTTCCAGTGTGTCAGCCTACATGAAATTAGATGCCAACTTCTCACCCGAAGTTCTCAGTAGTGTATGGTCAACTGGCCAAACTGCTATATTCATAATTTCTATCCACGCCATTCTCGTCTGAACCACACCTCTCATTTTCTGGCACAAATACCCTGTTGAGATCATACCAGAAGCACTAGACTCGGGCTTCACCCCAAGAAACAGTGCTGAGGATTGAAATTCCTGCACGTACCGTACCACGTATGACTAGTGAGCTTCGACTGACGGATACGAATTATGGCCACTACCCGCAATAAATCCATGTGGGTTATTTCGTCTAAAAACACTCCTTGCGCTGATAAAGAAACTGAATCTATTCATAAGAATGCAAGAGACAGATAGGATATTCTGACCATATGAGCGCATTGATATCGAACCCAAACTTATACTCAAGAGAATGATTCGTTCGCCTATTCTAAAGTTTTAGCCTAAAGCGGGTGAATGTCTTCTTGTTAAACTAAAGACCCTGGTTTATTTTCATCGGCCGCTGTGTACGTCTTCAGACCTGCGTCAACCTGTTGTGCAAAGCCGTAGGTACCATGATATCAAACATGTTATCACTTTGTTTTGCTATATTCGTTCAGTTCAGGGCTACTCATATACTACTACCGGATATTTCGACACAGATCTACCGGTTGGATAGAGAAAAACTACCAACATGGGAATGCAAGCTCTGGAGTGCTCAAATGCGCACACACGCACCACCAAATCCCTAAATCCCCAATGCGTATTGAATGCAGAGACAGTTATTAATGAGACGAAAAGGAACAATCTGCGACGTTAAGCGCAAATTCATTCGGGAATCAAACTAATGGTTCTGATCAAACGAACTGCCTTCATACACTGTTGTACGGCTGCAAGAGTTGGCTACCTCGGAAGGATAAAAGGATGCATTGTAGCTTTTGACAATCTCAGAACCAAAGCTGGTGAATCAGACGGTAGTCTACTCAGGGAGTGCATCCAGCACTGAGAGCTAAGGTGGTTGGGACTTGCGCTACGCATACGGAGAACGTTAATTTCCGTGCTTTATTCAGGTTTACGGAAGCCACCTGTCAACCTTTAGGTGGATAGGATATTACCTAGCGAAAGAAAGTCGCTCCAAGGCACAATGGGGTCGAATGAAGCAGTTATAGTTCAGGGAAGGCTGGTTTAATTGACAGAACGAATGCTTCATTGGCTTTCTCGTAGTTGCGGTATTCGACCAAATGGTATATCCATCCTTTTGTTTGAAATATGGTAGACCATCACCGATGTTTGACACGAATATTACTACTAATAGATATGTGATGCACTTTACACACTGAGGCAAAACAATACTGCGCATTCCTGATAGTGCCCCAGTTGGAAACACTGGCTTAGGGGTTCCCACTTACTACTCGTTGAAAACGAATACTGGGGTTCAAATGAAATTTCCCTTTCGGTGGTAATCCATGCTGAAAAGCCAAGAAACGCTGTACAGCTGTTCCATCCTTACTGGATTTCATCAGAAGTTCGCACCTCATGTGACTCAGAGGTTCGAGTCCACCATCTTCCGGCCAGTGGTTGAACACAACCGTTTGGCCACGGTCGATTGAACAGCAGCGCAATTAGCTTCGCTGTTTAATTAGATAGATGTTTAAGTATATGTAGGTTACCATACAGATATTTTTAATAAAAAGCATAAGCACCGGGAAAACACAATGAAGAACAGCGGGCACACGCAGTTGGTCATTTGCGGATCTAACCGCCGATAAAGAAGATCCATAGCTGAAGTTTTCGGGGGGACCATTCCGAGGCAATTGCTCAAACATCACAAGATAAAACTATGAAAATCTCCACAAACGGTGTATTCGTCCGATTACAAAGCACAAAAACGTGACGCAGCAAAGCCAACAACCCAAACGCAACCTGGATGGCTGACAACAATGCGTCGACCTACGCAGCGGTATAGTTACGTCAATGAATAATAGTGAGAAACTGGTGACTGGACAGGGGAAATCATATTGTAGAAAAGAGGATAATCACGCAAGCTCAACACAAGGGGTTGAGGAAAATTCTGGCTGAACCTGAAAGGAGGAAAAAATATGGTCAGATAGGAGGCAATATGAAAAATAAAAAAAACAAGTATGACACCACAAACAGACCACACCACATCGTCATGTGACGGGCTGTGTAAGAATATGACAAGTTAGGCTGTACTTAAGAGTTTCGCTATGAAAACCGGGATCGCTCATTCCAAGCTGGTCGACAGAACAATATTCTATTAACGCAGCGTCATAAGCTGCTGTATTGGTTGTTCAAATAACCACAGTAGCCTATTCATCAAACGCTTTTAATAGAAGTGGTATGCCCTCACTTATATCGCCTTATGTTCAGGCTTTTTTTTAGACAAAAGTTTTGGTTTGGGGCCTTAAGCGTCCTTCTGTGTAGGTTTCCGCGTCTCAAAAGTATCCCAATGAAGAAATTAACAATCACAAATCTGACTTCACGTCACACTGGCGATCAACTTGCGCTGTCAACCAGGTCCCATGACTCAGCGCTTAGTGGGTAAGAAACAGTTCCAAGCTTACACCTTCAAATACTCCCACCCTACTCCACTTCATTGACACGACTCTCACCACGAGCCAGCTACCCTCGCACTATATTTGGCAGCAACTCCTGCGTGTCAATGTGCAGTAAATCTCAAATGTCTCAAGGCAATTTTCAAGCTTTTTAAGCCACCTTTAATGACCACACTCTGAAACAAGCAGGATAAGCCGTTCCTGTCAATGGTTTGGATCCTCCGTATTTTGACACATTTGGCCGTCTAAAACAACGACTCACTATTCAAGTGATGCGGTTGGATGGCTATTACATTACTTTCTACTCCCAGGAACGTAACGCGGTCTCTTTAGGTGTTTATGCATGGGTCGGTAGTGTTAAAGCCGAGCAGGACCACCTCTGTTTCGCTGAGAACAGTTCCTATTGACATTCCAGGCGTTGTGTACGATCGTCAACCCACCGCTACGCACCACCACGCTCCAGAATAACGCACTGATGTCACCTCGACTGGTGATGAAACGTTTGCAATCAAATTGCCCAGCTCAGAGAACGAGCCAAAGACCATCTACGTAATCTGAGCTACCGACATTTTCCTCTATAGAATTTCAGACGTTCGAGGACAACCAAGTTAAAGTTCAGGTACCTTTGGGGTATTGCGAACTCTGGCATTCGAATCACTGAAGGTGGGAACCTCATTGATAGGAAGTCTCTAGACGACACTGTCACTCGGCCCGCTTCGCCCACCACAATCTACAAAATCATACTTCGGAATCTACAGTCTCTACACAGGCTTCTCAGAGTTCGAGGAACCGGATAAGGACTATCCAGTTTTACGCACCTCGATTCTGATAGTGGTGGGGACGGAATTGCGTCTAATGAGGTCAGTGAGCAAATTTCGAAGCCCGAAAAACATTAACAGATTATCCGTCCTCCAAGCTAGACAGTCACGCTTCAAATCTAGGAATGGCCACACCGAATTCAATGCGAGTAGGTTGAACGTTCTGTGGGGCTTCAGTGTGACTGATATATGATGCAATTACAAATTAATCATGTCGAAATACCCCATCATAATTCTACAAAGCCTGGTTGTTAATGCTTCAAAACCACTCTAGCTGGGTGTATCAGTGCGTTCTTGGGTAGCAGAGCGCAGCGAGGCGTTAACAAGGCGGATAAAGAGAGATCATACATGAAGTAGGCAACAGCAATGCTTCCCGAAGCACAATCAAACACCGAACGCAGAGTTCCGAAATCCAACCACCCATCACTGCGTTGACAGCTTTGCCTTGCGAACCAGGTCTGTCTAGGCAATCACTACTTCGCCATCCGAACCGATTTGCAAAGTGCTCTATAACATGTACCTTTGTTGCGATGCAATGAGAGATAACCAACAGGTCCCGGGTTCGAGGTTGTCAACTGAAGATTCTAACGGACCCGGTCGGTCCGACTGTGCACAGCCGGCTGTTCACAGGAATCTAACTATTCACAGCATCTTCAACTCTTATACTCATCGCAACATGCAAACCATCAAGACCATGAAGTGCAGCCTCTGGATTACCTGATGATCAGGGGGTAAATCGCGAGGAAACTGGGTTTTCCTTGACCGTGCTGAGATGCAGTGCCGTAGTAGGGTCTTGCATATGAGTACAGAACAAATCGATTATTAAGGAATTAACGGTACGAGCTAGAAGAGTTTGTTGGCCTATTTGACAAGATTACGATGCTACTTTAAAAAAGACTTGAGTTCTAGTAGCTTTCCCGTTATAGAGATAGAACCTGACGCTGAAGTTGTAATTTGGAACAGGCCGGGTCATACTTTCATGGGCAGTGAATAAAGTTGCAACTGATATATGGAAGGGACTATGCCTAGCGGTTACGCCCACTTTTAGCGGGGACACGTAAGTTTGCAGTTATCCGGGCCAAGGGGGCGAGATGGCCCAGGTGGTTAGAGCGCGAATTTACTAACCGGAATATCCGTGTTTCGAACCCGACCTCCACCTCTTGACTTCCTTGTCTAAGCTTGGGCAACCTGGAATTATCCCAGCCCTCCTGCTTCCTTCTGGTGGCATGGCAGTTAGGCACCGGAAGGGTGCTACAGCTGAGCGATTTTATCCAGGCCAAAGAAGGAAATTATAGTCCTTGACTTAAAAGTTCGAAAGCAATAGTGCTGAGGGTCTTTCGTGGATTGTCGCGGGTTTGACTCAGCTGGCTTCGGGAGGTTGTCTAGTCTAAGCGCATGGAGAGTAAAGCTGCTGTGAACAGTAGGTGCTTTTTGAGTGCCACCAGATTCCTGTTTTTTTCAGCTGTGTTGAAATGATTCGCCGGTGGTTAGGGTTTTTAGGGATGACCTCTGGGAAAGGCGGCACCATTCTTCACATGAATATGGAAATGCTGGTCACCTGGAGGAAACGACGCTGCTTTCATACAGGTGACAGCACCACTTTGCCTCCAGACCGCCTTGAGCTACAGTTTGTCTAGCCTTGCCGGCATAGTTTCACCTTGACAAACGAATTTGTAAGGCAAAGCGACTACCTGATATTAGTTGCGTATGTGTCGTGGTACCTCTAAACAATTGAAGTGAGCCAGCGTTTGCTCCGTTCCTAATCCATTCTTTAGCATTACCGGTACTTGAGGTTTTTAGGAAATGAACTGCTTAAGTCAACACCGAGGAATGCCAAAAAGGTGCGCTCCTTCTTCGATGAAAACTACAGAGTGAGCAGGGAAAATAACATTCCCAGCCACGATCAAATACTGATCTGGAAAAATGTATATGTTACGTTGACTGAATCTCGACATATATAAGATGCAAGGTTGGACAACTTACAAAGAACACTCATAGGTTGCTAGGGAACAGTGATAATTACCCCTCGAAGACCGATTCATTCAGCTTCAGCTTGCCATACTATCAGAGTGTCTAAGCCCAACTAAAAGTCGAACCACAGACCCGGATGTCACCAGCCTGCAGCTTGATCCTGGCAGCCTACCGAGCTTGTATTAAGTTCAGTGGTTAGAGAGCGAATTTACTGACCGTGGTTCGAACCCGACCTGGACTTCTGTCGTCTAGGCTTGGGCAACCTGGCAGTATCCCAGGTCTCCTTCTCGATTCGGGTGGCATGGCAGCTACGCACCGGAAGGGTGTCACAGTCTAACGATTTTTTTATTTGTTTCTTTGCAGAAAATCAAAGGTTCCAAAACGCTATTGCTAGCTCACCTTGAAGCATGCTCCAAACGCTGGAATAATCCAGTCAGCGCGATCAAGAACATATTGGCGACTGCGGCGCCAATAGTTGACGTGTGTTTCTGTATCTCCCATGGTTTCGTCAAGATTCCCTTCGAAGGTATCAAAGATGCTCACACTGCTAGCATCGTCCTTATCGGTGAACAAATTGCCTGTAATGGCGATGCGGCCAGTCGGTGGAACGTCCTGCTCCATCCCGTCAGTGATCCATCCTCGCACCATCAGACTAACTTGTTGCCCACGTTGTCCGGGTGTCCCAATAACGTACAACTGTGAAAAAGAAATTTTGTTCCCTAGATTACGTATCGAATAAGCGAAGCCGCTCAGTAAAATCATATAAAATCTACATCTTGGAGTCGAACAATGTAATGGACAGAATTCTGGAAAACTCGTACTGATTAATACCCCCCGCCCAAAATTCAGTTCCGTGTCTTTGTCAGAGTTAAGCAGTAACGCTGTGCGATTCTTAGCAAGCTATCAATCACCGGTGGTGGTGGATATAGAGAGTGTGACTGTAATACACTTGCTAACGAAAGAAAAAGGTACTTTCCTGAAAGAAAACATTTAAAGATGCACCGATCCTCAGGAAAGCCCATAACAAGTAACCTTAAACGTGAAGTATGGTGGACACAGAAAGCCAAAGAAATGGAAGAGGCCCAGAAGACCGGTAATGCCCGGAGATTATTTCGGTTGATCCGTGCGACCGGTCCCCGGAAACCACCTGTGAGTGAAACTATCAAACACCAGAATGGAACGACCATCTCGAACAAAGAAGAACGCCTTGACCGGTGGGCTGAATACTTTGAACAACAAATGTCTTGGCCACCAGCCGACACTCATCTACAGCCCACAGGTGAAGTAGAACCCTGGACGGTGAACGTGGAACCACCTACGGCCTC